GGAAAATGTATACTCGCGATCTATCTGGTTATTTATCCACGATATCATCCTATCACAGCACTGCATATTTATACACTCGGAAAATGCATGTGGAATGATATTGAAGGTGGAAAGGAAGTAATTAAAGAAGCTGTTGAGATTCTGAATATTTCAAAGAAATTGATTGAGATTACGCATGGAGAGGGAAACATGGTCCTGGAGAATGTCAAAGGACTATTAGAAATGGCCGAGAAAGAATGTGAACGTGAATGATACTATGGATCTTTTTTTTTTGGATATAGACTGTGTTTGAGTTACAAAGTTAATCATTAAAATGTATTACACTCTTAATATTACCTCTATATTTCTGTGTGCATTGGAAACAAAAAGAATCTATAAATAAATTTCTATCTCTTAAAACACGTGTAATTCCCAGCTGTTGGTTTCGTGAATGACGATTATATAAGGAATTAGTGAGGATAGATTAAACAAGCTAATGAGGATAGATTGAACAAGCTAATGAGAATAGATTAAACAAGGGTTCGCGTTTTTCACAGCGTAATACAATCTACTTTTGTTATGAAATGCCTCCGAATGTTTGTCGATTGTGCATTTATCGGATCATGAATAATTCATCATTTAGCCCGTCCCTCCGATTTGACTTGAATACTGTACAGCAAATCAACTTCATATAAAAAAACCTTTTAAAAGAAACCAGCAAGACTTTTTTTGAATCGGTCGTTAAAAAGTCTCAGTCGAGATAATTGGTTTACCGACTCGTCTCTCGAGTTTTAACCATTCATTACGCCATACTAAAATTTTGATCTCATAATTAGTCATGAGGCTTAAATGTGCGTGATTGTCAATGATGCAATGATGCATAATCCACAATTATAATTAAATATTTAAGCATTTAACGGCTTGGGATTCTCAAAAGAATGAAATTTTCAACTTTAACCAAAACAATACGATTAGTTATAGTCTTGATATTATTAACAAATTTTTGTATCGCGTCACATTTTCTTGCCATGGCCGAGCATCAAGTGATAGATGAGAAGGATGTCACAGGGAAAATTAAAGTTACACTTTCTACCAACGATTCATTGGATCAAAGTTTAGCAGGAGTTAAGATTGGTGGTACTCAGACAGTACGTTGGAGTACGAGCTATATTACGGGGAATCGTAAGTTTCAATTGATGTCTATTGCAACGAACATTGATTATCCTATTTTATATCGAGTAATAGAACTTTGTTTTTCGTGACCTTTTAGCAAAAGTTTCAATTCAAGTATATTCAATATTTCCAACAATGCCACTTCCAACTTACCTTGAAGTTTGGTCATCCCCTCATGTAAGTTTTAAGATTCCTATTTTCCGAGACTGTGGTAAATTTGATTATCATTAATGCAGTACTCTGCGATTTTAGAACACTACACTATCAGAAGGTCACTACCAGTTTACCGTTGATCCGGAAAAGTTTGAAGTTGGCACCCCGTACATCGTTAGAGTCTGGAAAGCCGACGATGAGGAAATTAGCGGTACCTCTGATCCATTTGTAGTGACAAACTGATTTTTGAGCGAACAAGCTATAATACACTGTATATTCGTGTATTCATGGCTTATCCATCTCACAAAGAGTTGGTGGGTTTTATAAGACTATTCTCTAGTAATTCCTTATGTAAATTTTTGAAAAAATATTTCGAGAATATTTAAGAATAACGATTATTATTATTCTTGTTCTTGTTAAAACCAATTCATTAAAATATATCAAAAATAATAATCGGTAATTTCATGATTACACCTTGTTTACGATGATTTGATTGATTGTATCTGCAATATCTTTTGTCAATTAGGTATAGATAAAACGGTAAATAAAAAATATCCATGCTTTATATTACACATAATACATATAAATCACCACGATTTATTAATTATTTTTTTAAAAATTATTTATTTTCTTTTTTTTACAACAAAACACTTTTTTTTTATTATATATTAATCGATCTAATATGATAATTGATTTATTCTCTTTTTTTTTTGTTGTTTTTTTTTAAATAAAAAAATAATTTACAAAATTAAACATTTACATATAATACCGTATGTATTTTTTAAAATTTTATGCGGCACTAAGCTTTTCCATATTTCTATTAATTTTTAATTTTTTAAATTGAAAAAATTTTTTAAACACAACACATTAACTTAATATCATATTCGCCTGTTATTTAAACACGTTTTTACAAAAATTTGTTAACAACTTGTCATCAATACTCTTCACAATGCATTGTGAGATGCACATTCCCTTTAATGATCAGAAACAATGACAATGTGTTTTACTTATTGTTACATCATTGCTACCATTATCACGTATTCGCATACCAATGGTCATCCTTACGCGCATGAGTTTTCCAATCCATGTAGCATAAATACAGGTTTAATGATAACCATTTTTACTTCTACGTATATACAAATTGTTGTTATACCCTCTTTAAAATCTTTTCAAACAACTAAATGTTGATTCGGGTTCTGTGGGCTCACTGACATCCTTCCCACAATTTTCAGTT